CTGACAGGTCCCGCGCAGCCCGGCCCTGCCACGCCGCTCACAGGTGGGATCTGAGAGCAGTTTGGAGCAGGCGGGCGCGCACCCAGAGGGGCGAACGGCTCGGCGCGGGCCTTTCTAACTCTAGCTCGGGCAGAGGGACACGGGGGTACCTCGCTTCCGGACCGAGGAGACCTGAGCCCTGGCAGAAAGAGTGCGTACAGGCGGGCAAGGGGACCGGAGGAAGCCGGGACCGGAGGGCACTGTCGCTGACCGCTGTCGGGAGCGCACGGAGCTCAGCAGCCCCGCAGCCGCGCGTTCCCTCGCCAGGACCGAGCCAGGGATACACGATCGCTGAGCGGAGATCTGCGCGCAGAGCCTCCGGGCCGGTGCCGGGACGCGCGCCTTCGCCACCGTCGCCAAGTCCTGCATTCCGGCGACTCTCGGAGAACTAGGGCGCCGAGCGCTGCCCCGAGGCTCAAGACTTGGGCGAGTCTAAGACGATGGTTTCTTAAGTACGGCACCGCGTCCCCCTTCCCGCCCCCTCGACCGGAGGCAAGGATCCTGCGCGGGGCTCCCGGGGCTCTGTCCCCTCGAGGAGCCCCGGCCGCCGCCTCCCGGAGCAGCTCGGACGGCCGCAGGGGCGCACCGGCGATGGGGCCTCCGTCCAGCACGCAGGCCCGCCTGGGGGATGTTCGGGCACCTGGCGGAGTCCCGGCCTAGCATGGCCCGCGCGCTGCCCGACGTCGCCTCCGGCTAGGATGGCCCCTCCGGGCCCGGCCGGCGCCCTCCCCGCCCCCGCCGAGCCGCTGTCCCGCAGCATCTTCCGGAAGTTCTTGCTGATGCTCTGCTCGCTGCTCACGTCCCTTTACGTCTTCTACTGCCTAGCCGAGCGCTGCCAGACACTGTCGGGCCCCGTCGTGGGGCTGTCCGGCGGCGGCGAGGAGGCGGGGGACCCGGGTCGCGGCGTCCTGGCCGGAGGCCCGCGGGAGCTGGAGATGTGGCCCGCGGCGGCGCAGAGAAAGCGCCTCCTGCAACTGCAGCAGTGGCGGAGGCGCCGGCCGCCTGCGCCGCACGACGACGGCAACGAGGCGGTCTGGGAAGAGGAGACCCCGGGCCTGGCCGGGGGTCCCGGCGGCTCCGGGGCCGGAAGCAGCGTGGCCGAGGCCCCGCCGGGGACCCTGGAGCTGCTCCTGGACGAAGGCAGCAAGCAGCTGCCGCAGGCCATCATCATCGGCGTGAAGAAGGGCGGCACGCGGGCGCTGCTGGAGTTCCTGCGCGTGCACCCCGACGTGCGCGCTGTGGGCGCCGAGCCCCATTTCTTCGACCGCAGCTACGACAAGGGCCTCGCCTGGTACCGGTGAGCGGGCGCGGGCCCAGGCCCCGGCAGTCAGAGCGCGGGGGGGGGGGTGTTGGGTGGGGGAAGACGTGGAGGGGCCCTTGGCGATCCCCAGTTAGCCTCCCCTCCCACTCACGAGTAAGGCAGAGGATCTCCCGAGGTTGTCCTGCAGTTCGGGGGTCTCTTTCCCCACCACGCCTTCTTCCCGGAAATGGGTGTCGAAGAAGGCAGTGGTGGGAGGGAAATTTTGGCCTTAATGGTTTTTTGCACTTGGGAGTCCCTTTCCGCCAAATAGTCAGTCTCCTCTGACTTTCTCCTGTGAAGGTATTCATGTATTTAGTTTTTTTGAAAAAGTCTCTTCCAAATTAGAAACCTGTTCATCAAATGAGTAGGTTACCTCTCCCAAGGAAGCCTGTCTTAATTTCTTCTTTATCTTTAGGGCAGTTCCCCTGTGGTCCACACAGTCTTTGCCATCAGGTATTTATTTACCTCAACCTTTTGCCAGATAGTTGTCCTAGGTGGTAAGTAATACAGAGACTTAGTAAAAGTATCAAGAACCAGAGAATCTACGTAGTTTGGGAAATATATGTCCGAGCAAGGACCAGCCACCAGGCACTGTGTTTTACAGAAGGTTTCCTTGGTAATAACTTTTGTTTGAGGCAAAGAATAGTTTTGTAAAGTGCTTTTGATATTTATAGGGAAAAGTAACTCTTTTTCTCTGGGCTGATGGAAACTTTTCTAAAGATTGCCAAACAATCCTCTTCACAAATAAAGTAGCCAATTAAAAGAAAAAAATAAAAAGAAAAAGGAAAAATGTGCATTGTGAAAAGCCTTGTGAATACAGTTGGTTTAGGAAACAAGCCTAATTTAGACCTTAATCTTAAATTTGCCAGTCTTCTCAAATTCAGACCACCTTTAATAATAAAATCAGCCAAACTCTAATAAATCCTAGTGTAGCCTGGATTTTGTTTGCCATAAAATATTGGTTTTTTTCTTTCCTCCAAGAACTAGGAAAAATCATGTTGCTAATATTTTCCATTTTATATAGTTTATCTTGTTCATAAAATACACATTCCCCTTGTTATTTTAACTGTAACAATGTTACAAAAGTTACAGCACAATTTAGATATATTTCATAAGCCAGTTAAATTAACCATTCATCCTCAACACAGAAATGGACATGATTTGACAAGTTTATTTACTTGAGAGGTCATGCTCACCCTCAGATTGATTTCATGAGACGAATTTACAGTAAATCCACTCATAAGAAAAGGTTTGGTCCTTCAAACATTAAGCACTTTTAAAACAGTAACTTTCCATTTGTTGGAAAGAAAAACAATCAACCTTCCCTTAATATAGATTATATATCATTTAAAATCATCAGCCACTTAAAATATCCCCTTGTGTTTCTGTCATTTATGTTGTATCCTCTGGGAAGTTCTTATAAAAATGACCTGTTGAATCTGGAAACAACAGGTCCTTCTTTTTAGCACAAAGGCAGCTCTGTTTTTTCCATCAAGGACACAAGAAAGAAGTGATTAAAGACCCCTAAAACTCTTATCTATAGCAGTTTGCATTGAATTCAGCCTCGCACTGTGCAATAAGCGAACACATTTCAAACTGACTGTCTGAAACATCTAAGACTACGTAGGGCTCTGAGGTGCTATTAAGCACAGTGAAATATTTAGTACTAAAACCCTTTATTTTCCTTTTGCCATGTAAACTTTATTTCCACAAAGTAAGCTTGTTTCTTCTTATTCAGAAATGAGTATTTGGGAGCACAGTGTATCCATAGACCAGAATCTTATATTCTGAGGACTTTTTCTGAACTCTCATAAGAGAAGGAAGGTTTCAAGGTAACGAGAAACACAAGTATTAAAAAAATAAAGAAAAAAAAGAAAAAGAGTCATAAACTTGTAAGCCACTCTCTCCTTTGGAAACTAGATGCGTGCTGTAAAGTAAATCTCTTCTTAGATTGTTTACTCCAGCAGAAGAGTTCTATAAAGCAATTTATGGTGGTTACAAAAATAACTGCACAGTAGACTTCATGGTTTGGTGAATTTAATTTTCTAAGTGTTGGAGCAATGTCTTTGTTTTACCATTTGCAATGGTATTTTTTTATTGGATGCATAAATTTAAGTTTAACTCAATTACATTGAAAACTCTTATTTAAAAAAAATTCAACCTGTGGAGCCTGTATTATGTGATTATTTAATGAAATTTCCCCACAGTTCTCTTTCATCTTGACTCTGAACTTGGAGTTTGATTTTTTGTGAGAGAGATTGAAGACTTAAACAATGAAAATAAATCTGCCACACAGAATGCCACTTAACTACTATGTGCATTTTAGCTATTTATATTTAGCCAGTATTTTAGAAAAGGGAATTCAGTTAGACCTTCCTGAATCAGCCCAAACTTTGCAATATAGAATTCCTACCATACACTTATGACCACACAAACACACATACATGAACAAAAGTAAAATTCCAATATTTACACCCAGAAGTGAATTATGGAAGAGAGAAATCTGTGTAATATTTTTAGGTGCACACTGACATGGGAGAATGCTAAGATGTGTAGTCTTCTTTTTTTCCCTTCAGTGAAATTGCTTAGTTCGCCATAATAGTTTGTTGTGGGAGTGCCCCCTACTGTCTTCACAAAGGGAGAAATCTGCTGCTATTAGGAAGTTGGAAGAAAATCTCTTGGAGAATGAGTTTGCGAGTTAGAAACACTCCTTGCTGAGATGTTTTGATCAATTTCTCTCTCTGGGAAGAAAATAAAATACTTTGTAAACTTTGTCCCAGTAGTAGAGTAATAAACACTTCCTTTGTTTAAACAAACTTGTAGTAAAGGCTAAGGAAGTGAATTTGCTATTCAAAATCTCTTAAAAGAAAACTCTTCTTATTGATTTAAAATGTCCTAACAGACTTCCTCTAAAGTAAATGAAACAAAGGCAAAATTGTATACACCACGAGGCTTGTTAATGATAGTTTAGGACACTTCATGGAGTTTTCTGGATGTGAAACTTCACCCTGATGGGGTTTAAAAAACATTCCTCATTACTTAATTTAGCAGACATGATATCAGTACAACAAATGTCTGTGGCTTGCGTGTCATGGGAAAGCAATCCTTTGCAATGAATAGTGTCCGTTTCCATTGTATGTGTGGTGGGTTTGCAAAGGAAGTGGAGAATTGTTCCATCAGCTTCAAACATTTAGGTCTTTACTGGAAGTCAAGACCAATTACCTCTACTGTAGTTCCAAAACAGGTGATTATAGAATTTAATAAGAAGGCCCCCCTTCCTGGTTGTTTATATCTGTACCAACTAAAAGGTATGCCTTTTTATTTCTCCTAAGATAAATGGCACCTATTTATAAAGTATTTAAAGTTACGTATATATGTGTGCAGATGTACATGAAGGTTTGACTTCTGTAACATTTCAGTTTCTTATTCTGGTACAAGATAGGAGGTATTCATTATCCAATCTCTTGCACTAGCATGTCTATTTCCCATTTTTAATCTTTAGCAAGTCTATATAATTTCAGAACAAAAGAATGTCATTGGACTCTATGCCATTTTACTTTATGCCATTCAGGAAAATAAAAGATTACTCAGCTTGAAGTCTAGGACTTAGTGTTCCCCTGGCTTCACCAAAATTTGAAAATTTCTGGCCTCTAATGATCATGGCCTTGTGTTTTAAGTCCACTGGAGAGGGCGACTGAACAGAGGCCCTTTTGGTTTCTATGAGGATCGGCATTTTGTAGCAGCTGGGAGCAGCTGCAAAGTACCTCCATGTGCAGTTTCCCACCCTCCTGTGCTGTGCGAGCCCCTTCTGCATGAAGAGTTTGAAATGAAATTCGAGCCAAGGGAGCTCCAGAGTCTGGCCACCCATGCAAGGTCATATGGACTGAAGGCCAAACGCTCTCTGTCCTTAGGGTAGAGGGAGGAACATTGGGAAATGATGAGGTTTGGGAACTGAGTGGGAAGATGTTGCTTTGAACTCCAAGTCTGGAGTAACATGTCTACAGAGGGAGAGAGTATAACTTCTTTTATGCACATAGTTCCCAGGAGCTCCCAGTGACTGGACACTCTCCATCCAGAGAAAGGTTGAGGAGTCCAAATGTCGTCATTCCATTTGCTTATATCTGAACCCTGAACTCATCCCCAATAGACAGCACTGGACATGCACATCAACCAACCTAGCTCCTGGGTGTGTATGTGTGGGTGTGTGTGCTCATACACGTGGATGTGTGTGCAAGAGCATAAACCCAGTAGGTGGAGAAAGTGATGGACTTTATAAGAGTAACATTCTTAAGTGGTTGGGGAATTTCTGAGCAATACTGGACATCCTGGTTAGGGAGCAGGCTTTGGGACTGTCTACAGAGATCATAGTCCAGACATTCAACAACAACAGCAAAACAACAACAAAAACCTGGAAATGGAATACCTTGTATGAGTGAATATTTCTTTATAACGATGACAGACTTTATACTATATTTCCTTATAATGTGCTGACAGACTTTATGTGAGATACCTACGTATCTATGGGTGAAAAGCCACCACGATCTTGTAATCGCCTACCCTTTCCTGAAAATGAAAATGCTCTGGCCAAAATATTTGTTTCCTATAGATAAGTCTGGTGACTGACCAGGAAAGAATAAGTGCCAAGTCTGTGTTTTGGAGGGGTCATTGGAATGAAATAAGCCTGTGCGATTAATGACAACAGAGGCCTACCTTACATAGACCAGATTCTCTCATCATGAGAATAGTGTCACAGAGAAAACAAAATTCCCTGATGCAAACAACGAAAAAAGACTTCATGCCCCTATGAGTCACATTTGAACAATTGCAAATTGTAGTTACCATCAGTCAAATTGTTGGACTCAGTTGAGAACTTGATATCCTTAGCTCCTTTCCTTAGAGAGAGCTATTCCTTAGAGAGAGCTATTCCTCCACCAAGTGATAGTAACTTGACTGATAAAGAGCTTTGTTTGTTGGTATATATTTATGAGTGATATTAA